GGGGGCACAGGGAAGGAGGAGCAATTCCTGCTGCTGCATGCACCCCGGGAGAGCATGGGGGCATGTGCCCCTGAATTTGTGTGGGGGCGAGGGCGAGCTGCTGCTGCGGGCTGGGGTGGCGCTCAGGGTAGGTGGCGGCAGAGCTAGGAGCGGGCTTATGGGGCGGGGGGCAGGCACCCCAAAATTTGCTGCAGCTCTCTCACCCCCCCTCCCAGTGCCACCTTTGCCTTTTCCTTATACTGCTGTCAATCCGATACAAGACCGACATATCAATGCATCTCTAGCAAATATTACAGATAATATAATGATGACCACTGGTTTACATCCTGGGATGTTACTATTTTCTTGGAACAACAGAAGGGAGAAATATTCCACTTCTGACAAAGCACAATTTTCTTATCCATGCTCTTCTCAAAAAGCACTTACAATTTTAAATAACAGAGTTCTTCCTGCTTCTATATCATCAAGTGAAAGAAAACGACCAGCCTTTTTCAACTGAGAAATTTTAATGGATATTCTTTGGTGGATAGAAAGTCTTCAAATTGTTCATAAAACCAATGATTATATCACTACTAGTCTTCCAAAAATGGGGCACAAAAGAGTTTCAAATGTTAGCAAATTCAGTTAAAAATACCCCTAAGAGACAGGAAAAGCATCCCCATCACAGGCAGCAAAAACAAGACACAGAGAGATGAAAGTTTACAGAATTCTAGAGGTGCACTGATGGAGTTCTTTTGGGCCAATACCGATGACCAATTTTTAACAAGCTATATTGGCCGACACTGGTCTGACTGTCAATACTGTAGCCTGGCAGGATGGAGAACAGCATTTAGGTGGTAAGTCTGTTGAGGGGTGGGGAAGAGACAAGGGGGGTGCAGGTGGGCTGATGCAGAGCTGGGTGCTTCCCAGCTGGGATGGAGCGGGGCATGGGATGGAGCTGTGGCTCATCTGGGGGTGCAGGGAGGGGCGGTTCCCACTGCTGCGTGCATCCCAGAAGGCATGGGGGGGAGGGGCACGTATGTCCCCTGGATCTGTGCAGGGGGCGAGGGCAGGCTGTTGCTGTGGGCTGGGGTCAGGGGTAGCACCAGCTCTTCCTGGCAGGGGGTAACTACACTTGGGACAGGTGGTGGTGGTGGTGCTGCTATACAGAGAGCCACAGTGAATTTTGGGGTGGCTGCAACCCCCCCCTGCAGTCCCTTCCCAGAGCCGCTGACCACCCCAAGTGCAGCCCTGGCCCAAACCCCCACCCCCGCCAGGAAAAGCCCAGTGTTGCCCTCAACCTGCAGCGGCAGCCTGCCTTTGCCCTGCACACAAATTTGGGGGGCACACACCCTCCATGCCTCCTGGGGTGCATGCACTGGTGGGAGCCAGCCCCCCTTCCCACATCCCCTGGATGAAGCACTTACGGCTCTGTCCTGTGCTCCACCCCACCCTGGCTGGCCAGCGCCTGGACCTGCCCCAGCCCCACTTTTTCCCTTACTGTGGGGGCCTTGGTCTGCCCCCCATGCCCTTTTCCCCCCACAACAGACTTACCAGCTGGACACTGCTCTTCACACTACCGACCTGCGCGCACGCACATGGCATTTATCGGTGACATCAGCCAAAAAAACCCAACTGACCATAATGACAATTCTCCTTTTATCAGTGCCAACATGATATGGGACCGATGTATCTGTGCAACTCTACATAATTCTGTCACCAAGATGGAAAGCAGACTGGCATCTCAGCCCATGCTTAAACACAATCAGGTACTAGACAGGTGGTTCTGCACATTTTCACACTCAAGGTGCCCCTCATTAGACTGAAGGAAAATGCCAGCACTTAAGTTTCACACTTTTTTGTTTTAAACTGGAGAAAAACAATAGAGCAACCCTTCTGCCTGCAACAGGTCAACGCTGTGGATTTCTACTGGGGTTGTCTGGGGTTATCGTGGGCGCTGAGACCGTGCAGTGCCACTAAAAGGAGCTCGGGGTGCCAGGGCGGGAGTGGCTGCGCCAGACGGCGCCCTCTGCCTCCCAGGCCCGAGCCCTGCCACCCACTCCCTCCCACAGTTACTCCGAGGCCTGCCTGCCAGCAAGGACGGGGCAGCTGTGAAGGCCTCCGTCGGGCAGTGTCCGTGCCGGCTTGACCCGCTCCCGGATTCCACAAACCAGGCCCCTCCCCGCGCGGCCCACTCCCCCAGGCTCCCTGCACCTGGCGCTCACCGCTGTCCACGCGGAAGCGCTCGTGGCTAGCCCGCAGCCCGTCGATCTCGCTCTGCTGGTCGGCCAGAAAGCGCTCCAGCTTCCCCTGCACCAGCTTGGGGAGCTTGGCCAGCTCGGCCCGCTCCAAGACCTGCTGCAGCACCGCCGCCATCTTGGCTGACAACCGCCGTCGCCGCCGCTGTCGCTGCCGCCGCCGCCGCTTCCCAACCCCTTCCGGCCTGGCCGCGACGGAGGCAGTGTACAGAGCATGCGCGAATACTGCCTCTCCCCTTCCAGCATCATGCGACATGCCGGGCGCTAGGTCCACCGGAAATGGGGAAGAGGAACTTCCGCCTTTGAGGGCGGTCCTCTCCCCCCCCATTTTTTGTGAGGCCCGCAATGCCGGTCAGTGGGTTTAAAGCGCCTGAGCTCGAACATTAGGGCGTTGCTGGCTTGAAACAAGCAAACAAATTCTAAAAAAGACGCGTGTGAGGTGTGGGCTATGGGGAACTACAGTGGCTTGTTCCTGCCACACCAAAAATGGTGGAGCTGGGGTGGGGACTAACGTCTTTCTCCCGCGCTTAGCTGGTATCTGGGCTGATTGGTTGATGTCATTAGTAAGCGCTCGGGGAGGACGGCGCATGCTGGTGACATGAGGCTGGGACACATCAGTGTGTGACTGAGCTCCGAGAGCGGTCCCCGGGGTTGGGGGTGAAGGTGGTGAGCGTGGCCCGCGGCCGGGGGGGGAGGGTAGGCCGGGCTGGGGCGGGGTGGCTGGAAGCGTGTCCCCTCTTTGCTCCTGCAGCGGGAATGGCTCGCGGCCCAGTTCCTTCGTGATTTGGGGGCAAAAGCGACGGTACAATTGTCGCATTCAAAATATTAAGATTAACACCCCCCCCCCCGCTCATTTCATACCTTTAAATCTTAGTGCAATGTTCAGACTTCCTGCTTAGTCATAGGTAGGCTTCAACTCCTTCAGGGGGGCTTTCGGAGACACGTAGGTTGTAGCTGTTGTGTTAGTCTAGAAGCAAAGGCATCCGTAACTCTTGAGGAAGAGGCGATATCTTTTATTAGACCAACTAGATAGTTGCAACTTCCTTTTGTATTTATTTGCAAGCCCGAAAGCTTGCAAATAATTGCAAAAAATATTTTTTATTGACTTACAAGCCTGAAAGCTTGCAAATAATAATAATAAATTGCAGCTACCCACTATCCAGCTGGTCTAATAAAAGATATCACCTCTTTCAGAGACCGCATTTCTGTACAGCTGTGCAAGTATGCAAAGATCAGCTCAGCGACTTTGAATGTGGGCGCCACAAAGCACGAGGAGAGGAAAACAGGCTCAGGCTCTGCACACATTAATTTAATGGTGCAATGGAATCTGATTCCCAGTCCCAGCAATTGTGCCTCCTGCCTTGCTACATGTGTATAACAGTATGTGTGATTTGGGGATTAGGGATCAGATCCCAATCAGGCTATTTCTCCAGGGCAGGCCTGGGTTCATGATCCTGGACTCCCCCGCAGCAAGTTGAAAGCGGGGTGCCCACAACCCAGCATAAACCAGTGTTGTCCCAGGGCTGTACCATCACGTGATGGTTGCCCCAGAACTGCACTGGCACCAATTTGAGAGTGATGTGGTTCTGGGGCTGGGACCAGCTATCAGCAGGTGGTCAGTCTCAGCCCCAGGACTGTGGTAGAGCTTGTCTGACACCCCAGTATAGTCCTGGGCCTGGAACCAACAATCTGACTGTTATCTCATTGGGAGTCCCAGTTCCAGGATTTCACTTGGGCTGGTCCAAAAGTATTGTGCACCAAGATGTCAGAAAACTTTTTATATGGTCCAGCTGCACATACAGTATTTAAGGTCTCAGCTGCAGATCAGCTGAGAAGTTCACAAATCCTAGGGTCCCTGTGTGTTGTGAATATTAGAATCATAGAAAGTGAGAGTTGGGAGGGCCCTCAGAAGGTCATCTAGTCCTCAAAGCAGGACTGTCCCAGGTAGACCATCCCAACCAAGGCTTTAAAGTTCCAAGGATGGAGACTCCACAACTTCTCTGGGTAACCTGTTCCAGTGCTTTACTACCCTCCTAGTGAGAGAGTTTTTCCTAATAGCTAACCTAAACTCCTTTGATGCAACTCAAGAGCATTGCTCTTTCTTCTGTCATCTACCACCACTGAGTACAGTCTAGCTCCATCCTTTTTTGGAACACGCCCCCCAATGTAACTGAAGGCTGCTATTAAATCCCCCCTCAGTCTTCTCTTCTCCAGACTAAATAAGCCCATTTCCCTCAGCCTCTGCTCAGACTTCATGTGCCCCAGCACCCCAAGCCATTTTATGGCCCTTCACTGGATTCTCCAATCTGTCAACATCCTTTCTGTAGTGGGGAGCCCAAAACAGGACACCACACTCCAGACGTGGCCTTACCAGTGCCAAAGAGTGGGGAATAATTACTTCCCTGGATCTGCTGGCAACACTTCTACTAATGCAAGCCAGTATGCCAGTAGCCTTCTTTACAGCAAGGGCACACTATCTAGTAACCCAAGTTGTAGGAGGAGCATCACAGTATGGCACAGGGTGAAGGTGTAGTAGTATCAGCAGACCAGTGCCTAGCCAAGATAACTGTTTTCTAATGGCACCTTCCTGCTATAAAAAATGAGTGCTGGAAGGGACCTCAGGAGGTCATCTAATCCAAGCACCTGCACAAAGCAGGACCAGCCCCAACTCAATCATCTCAGCAAAGGCTTTGTTTAGCCAGGTCTTAAAAACCTCCAAGGATGGGGAGAGTCCACATTAGTAGTGGGGGGCCCACTGGACACAGTACTCCAGATGTGGCCTCACCAATGCTGAATAGAGGGGAAGAATCACTTCCTTCAATTTGCTGGCAACACTCCTACCAATGCAGCCCAGTATGCTGATAGCTTTCTCCGTACCAAGGGCACACTGTTGGCTCATATTCAGCTCATTGTCCAGGTCCTTTCTTTGCAGGGCTGCAGCCTAGCCAGTTAGTCCCCAGCCTGTACTGGTGCATGGGATTGTTCTGTCCAAAGCGCAGGACTTTGCATTTGTCCTTGTCCTTGCCCTTGGTGAATCCATCCTGACTGTTTCTAATCACCTTCTTGTCCTCCAAGTGCTTAGAAATGGATTCCTTAAGGATCTGCTCCATGATTTTTCCAGAGAATGAGGTAAAGCTGACTGGTCTGTAGTTCTCTGAATCTTCCTTTTTCCTTTTCTTAAGTGTGGGTACTATATTTGCCTTTTTCCAATCATCCAGGACCTTTCCAAGTCACCATGAGTTTTCAGAGATACTGGCCAGTGGCTCTATAGTTACATCAGCCAACTCCCTCAGCACCCTTGGGTGTCCCTAACCTGTTCTTTTGCCACAGTTGGCTGCTCACCTCCTCCCAAAACTGTGCTTCCAGGTGTAGTAGTATTTTGGGAGCTGACCTTGCCTGTGAAGACTGAGGTGAAAAGGGCATTTAGTATTTCAGTCTTTTCTGCATCCTCTGTCACAAGGTTGTCTCCCTCATTCAGTAAGGGGGCCAGCTTTCCTTTATCTTCCTTTTGTTACTGACATACTTGTAGAAACCCTTCTTGTGTACCTTTCATGTCTCTTGGAGCTGCAACTCCAATTGTGCTTTGGGATTCCTGACTTCATCCCTGAATGCCCAAGCAACTCTTATACATATGCAGCCAGGCTGTACACATGGTTTTTAGAAGTCTCAGTGCGTGGGAACATGTGATTGGGTTCCCCTATCCTAGGGTCCTGTTAGTTAGGATTTGTCAGATGCCTGGCTACTCAGCCGCCACTAGAGCTGCAGGGCAATGTAGTCAACCTATTGGGTTGCAGTGTGCACTATCTGATAAGCTCCCTTGAACTCGGCATCCTGATCACAGTGGGATGCAGCCCAATACAGAGCTGGACCACACAGCTGTCATCCTGCCAATTGTGGTGGAGGGGCAAATCTGTCAACCAAGCCCCACCATGCAGCTGGCATCAGGCTGTATAGTAAGATTTCTATGATACATGTTTAATTTAAGGTCCTATAGAAATCAGCCATAAAAGTAATACAAGTTTTGTGGCATTTTTTTGTGGTGACTGTCTTGTTTTGTTGCACAATCGATTGCCAGAACATGTGGCTGAGCTACTATTCATGGCATGATGAATGGGGTAATAGCATTTTAAGTGTAATGTGTGACAGGGGCCTCAGTCCCTTCCTGGCTGATCTCCCATCGTTGGCAGTGGAAGGAGGGGGTGCTAATGGGGCTTAGTCCCTGCAAACGTAGCAGCCCAGCTGTGGGCTTCTGGCGGTTGGGGTAGGGTGGGGAGGGGCACTAAGCAGTGAGGGAGGGAGTGGGGCTGGGGCAGGCCCTGTGCAAATGGGGCGGGTTGTGGGACTGAGCTGTGAGTGGCTCGTCTGGGAAGCTTGGCTTCTGCTGCACGCGCTTCGGAAGTCATGGGGGACATGTGTCCCCCCAAAATTTGTGTGTGGAGTGGAGGCAGGCTACCCGCTGTGGGCTCAGGGCTCTCCACTGTGTTGCCTTTGGCCCAGGAGCCACACGCTGGCCACGCTTTGTACTTGGCAGCAGTGGTGACAGCGAGTTGTGCCTCCTGCTTCTGGCCAGCCAGGGGACGCACAGTTGGTGCATTGCTCCTGGGGGAAAGGCAGCAGGGTGGAGAGCCCTGAGCCAACAATGGGCAGCCTGCCTCTGCCCTTGCCCCGCTTAGCTCTGCTCCTAAAAGTGTCCCTGTGATTAAAAATGGTGGTGCTGGAGCTTGAACTAAAGCTCATTCTAGCCCCAGCCTCTGCCTCATTCCCTTCCTCACTGTGGGGGCCTCGATCTGTCCCCTCCCATGCTTCTTTGCTCCCTCATGTCCCTTCCCCTCCACAGTTTTACCCTCATGGTGCTGCTCTCCATGCTGCCCAGTTGCATTTCCATAAATTGGTTATCAGATCGGTATCAGCTGACATGGCTGGTTAATAACAGGCTTTGGTATTGGCCAAGAAAATCTTTATTGATGCACCCCTATAAAAATATAGAGGGTTGCTTTGAGTTTAAAAAAATTTAACTGCTGCTGGAGTCATTATAATAATTTAATTGTTTCATAGACTGAAGCAAGACAATTGTGTTACAAAGTTGTAGTAATGGGAAGAAGCTACTTTGTAGAAGAAACTGTTGGACAGTATCTTTCAGACCTCAGCACCAAGCCAAAGGTTTTTGCCACTGGCCTGCTGATAGGACAGGTAAGTGTGTTATATTGATGTAAGCATGTGTTGGCCTCTTTAGTGGATATGTGTAACTGCAATTAATAATATGTTTGTACAGGGGTTTGCTCTGCTTCTGTTCAAGAAAATGAAAGCATTCTAGTTGATTTTCATAGTGTAGGATTAAGTGCATAAATATAATATTGAACATTTATCAGGCAGTGAGTTTATACAGAAACTTACAAGTGTCCTTGGGGAATCCAGTTTATTCACCTCCAAACAGTGAAAGGCTCAGTTGGATTTCCAACTTGTTTTTCCAAGTGGTTTGGTACATGTGACTATGAAGATATAACACCAGCACTTTTATATTTCACTTCTTTATTTTCATTCACGCAAGGGTAGGCAGTTATTTTGGCTGGAAGGCCGCTTAATGAGTTTTGGTGAACTGTTGAGAGTTGCAAGGGTAGCCCTACCCCTTGACAGGTGCCCTGCCCCTGGGTACCATCTTGGGTCTGGAAGTCCCACCTCTAACTCCTGACCTTTGCCACTGGACATCTCTCCCCTTGCCCTGGAAGTAGTCCTCTTGGGAGGGAAGGTGCTGCCTTCTTGAAACCAGGGGAAAAAAACCAAATCATGCACTGAAAAATAAAAAATTACTATAACTTATATTAATTTTATTTTAAAATATTTTTGTTCTGCTTTATGCATATTTGCATAGTGTATCCAGAGACGATTGCATAATAGCTCAAAATACAGTCTTACTCTTGTATATTGTGGTGGGGTTAGGTGGGTGTTTGGGGGATGGGTTTGGCTGTGGGGTATGTGGTTAGGGTGGAGGTTATGGTGGGTGGGGTGAGAGTGTGTGTAGGACGGTGTGCGTGTGTTTGGGGGACTGGTGGAGGTGGGAGGATATGGGTACATGCGTGTGGGGGAGTGGGTCCTTGGTGTCCCTGGAATGTTGCAGTCCCTGGAGCTGCATGTGGTGGCAGTGACCGGGGCCAGTCCCCACCTGGTCCTATAGTATGCAGCTTTCCACACTCCCACCCTAGTTCCCAACTGCAGGTGGTGGCAGCGTGCAGGGCCAGCCCCACAAAACCCTGCGCAATGAAGCCAGCAGCGCAGGTCATGGGGCTCAGACAGGGCAGCAGAGAGAGGGGAGGAGGCGGCTCAGCTTCATAGCATGGAGATCCG